GTGAAATTCATATAACACACAATGGACTCTTTTTAAGTGTACTGTTAGTGATATTTAGTGTATTCACAGTTTTGCGCAAGCACCAGCTATTTAGTTTCAAAAGTTTGTCATTGACCCCTACAAACTCCCTGAACCCATTGGGTGATCACTGCCCAATCCCCGTCCCCATCATCCGCTATAACCTCTGAGCTGCTCTGTCTCTGCGGATTTCCCTGTTCTGGATAAAGCGTATGCAAGGAGTCATGAGCCCAGTGCTTCTTGGGGGCAGGCAAGCCCCATTTCCAACAGAGAAAGCTCTTTCTTTCCTGGCCGAGCTCCACCATTTCAATCAAGATCCCAACCAAAAAGCAGCAAACAGCAAAGCAGAACAGTCCAAGAATCTTGATACTCCCTTCGGGTTCCAGTAATGGGGTTTGATCTGGGATTATTCCTGTTCTTTTAAGAACAGTCCTGTGGAGTACGCTGGAAATCACCGTGAGGACAGTGTAAGGAATAGGGATGTTGAGGCAGGACAGAGACAGCTCAGGGGAAGATGTGTTAATTCTCTGCGAAATCTGCAGGATCTTAGTCATTGTAATTATAAGAGGGTTAAATTAAGATCAGTTGGGAGACCTCAGCTCGGTAAAGGAAAAACTTGCAATTAATTAGGACTGAAAATAGTGGGAGAGGCTGCTTTGTGAGCTGTTTGTCTCTGAAAGGCTCCAACACTTTTACACCTAGAGTATTGGCAGATAGATTCTTAAGAAGAGATGAAGGGTAGTCCAGGTGATTTAAGAATTTTTTTTTTTTTGTATGACCATGTCTGAAGAGTAAGAAATGACTGAGATGTGAGTGACCAGAGGGCTCTACAGAGCAGCTGGGATGTGTGCTGGTCTCTGAGGAGGGGCAGGTTCCAGTGAGATGAGAGGGAGCAGCAGGTATTGCCAGCAGAGATGAGGCGGGAATGTTTAGGGTGTGTAAGAGCTTCCTAGGGCTGCCGTAACAAAGGACCAAAAACTGGATGGCTTAGAATGTCAGAAATTAATCATTTCACAGTTCTGGAGGTTAGAAGTCCAAGATCAAGGTGTTGCCAGGGCTGGTTTCTTCTGAGGGCCGTGTGGGGGAATCTGTTCAAACCTCTTTCCCACTTCTGGTGGTTCGCTGTCCGTCTCTGACCTTCCATGGCTTGTAGGGACACGGACCCTGATCTCTGCCTGTGTGTTTGTATTCACATTTCCTTTTAGCATTGGGGCCTGCCCTAATGACCTCATTTTAATTTTATTACCTTTGTGAAAACTCTTTCTCCCAATAAGGTCACATTTTGAGGTACAGCAGATCAGGACACCAACGTATCTTTTTTGGGGGATACACAGTTCAGCCCATAGCAAGGCATAGTCATCAGACCAGTTTGAACAGAGTAGAATGTTTGAGTGGTTTAACAAGGGAAGTAGGTTGGACAGACCATTTTAGGCTCTACATCTGGCATTTGTCTATCCCCATTACTAAGGTGTTCCAGAAGAAGTCAGCTGGTTTTCAGTATATAGGGTGTATAGAACTAACCACATGAAGGGAAACAGGAGACGGATTTGCCAAAGCTCCATCTGTGGGGATAAAGGCCTCCTGGACTGAGTCAATCAGGACTTCTGTTTCAAATGTCATAAGAATTTTGGCATAAATTTTGGCATTTATTTTCA